GGAGGCGCCGGGGCAGTGGGAGGGGACAGGGAGACCTGGGGGGCACCCAGACCGAACAAGCTTTTCTCTGCATCCTCTTCATCCTCCCCACAGACGTCAACTGGGGCTCCTCTGTGCAGGCCGGGACCTACAGCATGGCCCTGTCCTACTCCGTCAGTCTCACCCAAGTGGAGGAGCATGTCAAGAACTTCCGGTAGGCCTGGCTGGCTGAAAGCAGGGGCTTTGGGAGCTAGGACTCCTGGGTTCTATGCCTGACTCTGGGTGCAAAATGGGGTCTAGTGGTTAAAATGGGGGGTGCTGGGCTCTATAACTCATTCTGAGAATAATGCTTGGGCATTGGGGGCAGCAGTGTATCTGTGGGGAGAGCCACCCCCCCCCCCCGACTCGTCCCAACCCTCCCTCTCTTCCAGCCCCCAGTGCCTGGTGCTGACGGGTCCCCCCAGCTTCCGACCAGCTCTGGTGGATTTCGTCAGTGCCTTCACCAAGGGGGTCAGCCTCATGATCTGTGGGAACGTGGCTGGGGTGAGTATGGGGATGCCGGGGAGGCAATCAAGGAGGTGAGTTTGAGGCCCGGCATCCTGCCCCCTAACCCTCCCCTTGCCTCTCCCAGCCGCAGGATACCCCAGGGGACAGCGACTCAGAGGAGCACGTCGAGTGGCTGAACAGGCGCAAGGTGCGATCCTTCTACACCCTCATCACGGCCCCGGACCTGCGCAGCGGAGCCCGCAGCCTCATGCAGGTGTGTGTGTCCCAGCGCCCCCTGCTGGAGGGGCTGAGCCCTGCTCTGTGTGCTGCCCCCTGCTGGTGCAAATGAGCGCTGTGCTGTGCATGCACCGCCCTGTCCCCCAGTGAATGTAGCCTGCCATGCTGCGCTGTGTGTCATCCCCCCCACACTGCCCCAGCCTCACCAATGATTTTCTCCAGGTGTCCGGGCTGGGGCGTCTCAAACCCAACACAATCGTGCTGGGCTACAAGCAGAACTGGCAGACGGACTCGCCCCACAACCTGGAGAACTACGTGGCCACCATCCAGTAAGGGGGCTGGGCTGAGGGGGGCAGCAGTGGAGTGGGGCGCTGGGGTGGATGCCCCAGAGTAGGGGGCAGCAATGGGGTTGGAGGCATCTCTGGAAGTGGGGAGACACCCTGGGGGCCAGCACCTCCTTTCTGGCACCTCCCAGCAGCACCCCCTGACCCCACTCTATGCCCCCAGCGACGCGTTCGACGGCCGGGCCGGGGTGTGCGTGCTGAGGATGAAGGACGGGCTGGATGTGTCGCGGACGGTTCGGGCCTATGGTGAGTATCGGGTGTGGGCTGGGGGAGGGCAGACGGACACAGACCCATGGACATGCCTGGGCAGGGCCTGGTCCTGCCAGTAGGGGGCAGCAGTGACCTCCACCAGTGCTCTCTGCCTGCCCCGTTCCCCTGGGAGGGCAGCTGTGCAGCCAGGTGGGGCCAGGGGGCTCTCCTCAGCTGTCTAACCCCCATCTCCCCAGTGAACCCTGCATTTGAGGACCCCGAGGCAGCACCGCAGGGGGAGAAGCTGAGACAGGAGTCGGGCAATGCAGGTGAGGAGGGCAGCAGGTGGGGAGGCGATGGAGGGGGGCAGACGAGGGGGCTGTGTAGGGGGGCAGGGGCTGGGCAGTGAGGGAGGGGGCTGTGGGTGGCAGCCAGGGACACTGGGCCCATGTCAGGCCAGGGGAGGCCGGGGGGGTGGGTGAAGAGACACCAGCCTGCCCCGAGCCAGGGGGTTGCCCTGCCCCACCTGCTCTGTGTGCCTACAGGCAGCAGCGTGAAGGTGCTGGGCGCGGACGAGCTCACTGAGACCCACTTCCAGGCCCCGCAGAAGAAGAGATGTGTGGACGTCTATTGGCTCTTTGACGATGGGGGTGCGTGTCTCTCAGCCCACCCCCGCCCCTGGCAGTTCCCCTACCAGCCCCCTCACCTCTGCCAGCCGCCCCTGTCAGCCCCCTCACCTCTGCCAACCCCCCCAACCTCCTCCCTCCATCAGACTCCTCCCCTGGCAGCTCCCCCACCACCCCCTCACCTCTGCCAGCCCAACCTCCTCCCTCCACCAGCCCTCACACCCTGTCAGCCACCCCCGCCACCTCTCTTACCAGCCCCCAAATCTCCTCCCTCCATCAGACCCTCACCCGTCAAGCTCCTTCATCCACCAGCCCTGTCTCCCTACAGACCCCCTCCCCTGCCAGCTTTCCACCCCCCAGACTCTCAACCTCTGACAGCCCCTGCCCATCCCTTGGAAGCCTCCCATCTCTTCTCCAGCCTTCTCACCCCCTGGCAACCCCCGGGCCCCAAGAGCCTGCCAGTCCCCCCGCCCTTCATTCGTGGCCTGCTCCCCCTGCCGGCCACTCCCTGACACTGTCTCCCTCCCAGGGCTCACCCTGCTGGTCCCCTACCTGCTGAGCCGCCGCAAGCGCTGGAGCCGCTGCCGGGTCCGGGTCTTCATCAGCGGCCACCTGGGCAGCGCCGAGCAGCAGCGCCAGGAGTAAGGGCACCTGCCTCGGCCCCGCGGGTCCCCTGAATTCCCACCCGCCGCTCCCCCCTCCCGCTGGCCCCCCGCATTCCTCCCGTGGGCCCCCACATTCCCTCCCCACCTGCTGGCCCTGCCGTTCCCCCCTCCCATGGGCCCCACAAATTCCCGCCGACCCCTCCCCACCCATGAGCCCCCCCCGCATTGCCCCCACTCCTCCCCCTGCATTCCCCCTCCGCCCACAGGCCCTGCTGCTCCTCCCCTCCCATGGGCCTATCGCTTCCCCTCTGCCCCACAGGATCCAGCTGCTGCTCAGCAAGTTCCGCCTGGGTTTCAGCGAGGTACTGGTGCTGCCCCATGTGGCCTGGCAGCCGGAGGAGAGAAGGTGAGTCCCCCTCACAGCGATTCCCCACCCCCCACTTCTCGGGGGGGGAGCCTCAGGCCTGACCCCATTCCCCGGGCTCCCCATTGCCTGGGTGGGGAACACCAGGCCCGGTCCCAGGGCCTAACAGAACCCCTGAAATGGACCCCACCTCCCTGGCACCACCCACAGTGAAGGATCCCTACAGCTGTCTGGCTGAAAATAGAACCCAGGAGTCCTGGCTCCCAGCCCCCACTCCCTACCCTAGAGGAGACAGGTACCACCCTAGGCTCCCCAGCCCTCTAGGTGGGTCCAGCTGTCCTCAGCCCTGTGCTCTGCCCCCAGCCTGAAGGAATTTGAGGACCTGGTGGCTCCGTTCCGGCTCAACGAGGGACAGCGCAGTCCTGAGGCCACAGAGGCCCTGCGGAGGGAGACACCCTGGAAGGTTTCAGATGAGGATCTGCGGGTCTACAGGAAAAAGGTGAGACCGGATACCTGGGTCCTAGCCTGGCTCTGGGAGGGGACCAGGGGGTCTAGTGATTGGAAGCCAGGACTCCTGGTTGTGGCCTGGCTCATGGGGGCTGGGCACTGGGCACACCGCAACCCCCTCTCACTCTTCCCCCACAGTCGGAGCAGCAGGTCCGGCTCCACGAAATCCTGCAGGAGAATTCCCGGAACGCTGCCCTGATTGTCATGTGAGTGCAGGCCCCATCCCTGCGCGGGACAGCACCCAGGTGGCCTGTGTGATCTTGGCCTTGTCTCACTGCAGAACTGGGGATGGGGAGAGACCCCCTGCAAGCAATGAGGAGTGGGGGCTAGTGGGGGACCTGGCCTGCATGCGCCAGTGCAGCAGGAGGGACAGACCGTAGGGGAAGGGCTGTGCCCTGGAATCCCTGGCTAGGGGGGAGTGATCATTGCCCTGGGGGATTTCCCCATGGCCCTGCCCTGGTGCGGGGGGGGGGGTGTAGGGGCAGCCAGTATCAAGCAGAGTGCCCTAGGGGTCTGTCCTGGGGCCGGTTTTGTTCAACATCTTTATTAATAATCTGGATGATGGGACAAGTGCAGAGTTCTGCACTTAGGACGGAAGAATCCCATGCACCGCTACAGGCTGGGGACTGACTGGCTAAGAAGCAGTTCTGCAGAAAAGGACCTGGAGATTACAGTGGACGAGAAGCTGGATATGAGTCAGCAGTGTGCCCTTGCTGCCAAGAAGGCCAATGGCATTTTGGGCTGCATTAGTAGGAACATTGCCAGCAGATCGAGGGAAGTGATTATTCCCCTCTGTTCGGCACTGGTGAGGCCACACCTGCAGTATTGCATCCAGTTTTCGGCCCCCCACTACAGAAAGGATGTGGACAAATTAGAGAGTCCAGCGGAGGGCAACGAAAATGATTAGGGGGCTGGGGCACATGACTTATGAGGAGAGGCTGAGGGAACTGGGGTTATTTAGTCTGCCAAAGAGAAGAATGAGGGGAGATTTGATAGCTGCTTTCAACTACGTGAAAGGGGGTTCCAAAGAGGATTGATCTAGACTGTTCTCAGTGGTAGCAGATGACAGAACAAGGAGCAATGGTCTCAAGTTGCAGGGGGGGGAGGTCTAGGTTGGATATTAGGAAACACTATTTCACTAGGAGGGTGGTGAAACACTGGAATGGGTTACCTAGGGAGGTGGTGGAATCTCCATCCTTAAAAGGTTTTTAAGATCCGGCTTGACAAAGCCTTGGCTGGGATGATTTAGTTGGGGATTGGTCCTGCTTTGAGTAGGGGGTTGGACTAGGTGACCTCCCGAGGTCCCTTCCAACCCTGATATTCTATGATTCCTCTGGCCCTGCCCTGGGGGTGGGGGGATGGGAGCCCTCGGGAGTATCCCCATGCCCCCTCCTCACTGACCCCCATCCCTCCCTGCAGGAGCCTGCCTGTGGTGCGCAAGGGGGCCTGTCCCAGCGCCCTCTATATGGCCTGGCTGGAGACCCTGTCCCGGGATCTTCGCCCACCTGTTGCCTTCATCCGGGGCAACCAGCAGGATGCCCTGACCTTCTACTGCCAGTAGGGGGCACTGCGGGCTTAGCCTGAGGGAGTAGCCTGGAAACCTGGGTTCTTTCCCCAGCGGTGGACGGATCATGGCCCCCAGCTGGGCAGGGGGCTGATGCTGGTGCTACCGTCTCCGCACGCTCAACTGTCCCCTGCGATGTTGCCACGGGGACTCGGATGCCTGGGTCCCATGCGCAGCCTGGGCCGGGGCCTGTTGTGCTCTGCCCCTGTCAGGGGGTGTCCCCCACCACACTGCACTGTAAATATTAAATATTATTATTTACACAGCGCCTGACACCTCGTCAATTGACGCCCCCCCAGCCATGCAGGTGCCCCTCACTCCCGACCCACAGCCCCGTGCTAACCCAGCCCTGCCCCTCCCCCAGCCCTACCGGTGCCCCTCACTCCTGACCCGCAGCCCCTGCTAGCCCAGCCCTGGGCTGCCCCCCAGCTCTGCTGGTGCCCAAGTCCCAACTTTCAGCCCCTGCCACCCCAGCCTTGGGGTCCCCCCCCCAGCTCTGCTGGTACCCCTCACTCCTGACCTGCAGCCCATGGTAGCCAGGAAGGCAGGCTGAGTACCCCAACTTATTGCCCCAGTGGCAGGGTTCAGGTGAGGGGCTGGGGCCAGGCCCGGAGGCCACTCCCTGCCTAGCCCCCCGGGCTCAGGAAAGGAATCCCAGTTACAAAAGCTAAATGTCTTTATTGTGTGTTAGGGCTGAGTTCCAGCCAGCGGGGCCCTCGAGCCGCGGCAACCCTGCTTGGCGCAGGCCGGGGGCAGCAGCCACTTTGGGGCCCGTCCTTCGCGTGGGAGGGAAGGGGTTAATCACGCCAGGTCACCTCCACTTCATCTGTCCGGTACCTGTGGGGAGAAGAGAGAGTCGGGGCTGGGGGCTGTCCCACGGCTGAGACCTCTCCCCGTCGCTCTCCCCTCCTCTACCTCTGCGTGATCCACGAATCCTCTAGCTGCGTCACCTGCCCCGTGCGGAACATCTCCCAGCCGGCCTGCGCGATCATGGCCCCATTGTCAATGCAGAACCTGGGGGGGGGGAGGGAGG